TCAACATTCTAGAAGCTGTTTAAATAATAAACTAAATATAGAGAATAAAATAAAAAAATTAAAAATTTATTTCCAAGTCTCAGCAAATGTACTTTATTTTTTTCTTTAATATAACAGAGAAATTTATATTCTGATCCATATAACATTCTCTCACACTTGAATGTATTTACTAAATAGCAGTATGAAATTCAGAAGAGACACATTTGGTGAGTCTGGGAAGCCTCACTTTCTGGGGTTTTCAAGCCCCAAAGAGTAACAGGAAAATTGTTTTCCTGATCATTAAGATGCTTAAAAGAATTATGATCTCTTAAGTTATATGTAATAACAAAAAAACAAACACAAACTGGGAGTACACTAAATGTCTACAGGGAAACACAATAACTCATTCATATAAAGGACCATAAAGACATAAAATGTTGGGTAATTATTTGACAATACAGAAAAACGTTTACCACAAATAAAGTGTGCTTAAATAGCGCATCATACATGTTCTACATCTTTGCATGCACGGAAAGGTCAGACATCAAAATGTTGGCCACCTCAAGGCAACAGAAGATAAAAGATTAAACTCTTTTTCCACTTGTTTTCTAAATTTTCTCCTAAACAAAATTCAAACTCAGATACTTGATAATATCTGTAACTGAGGACTCAGATACTATGCACTACCTATAACTAGGACTCTGATATCTATAATATAACCTAGGACTTGATCGTTTAGCAAATGCTAACGGCTCTATTTTCAAATAGTGGAATTTGACCACCACTTCTTGATCTAAACCACCACTTGTTGCCTAAATTTTGCAACAGGTTTCTAAATGATCTTCCTGTTTCTGTTCTTGCTCCAATTTCAGTCTATTATTAGCATAACAGCCAAGGTTATTATTTTTTTGGTGCAGGGTCTCACTACACAGCCCAGACTTGCAGTGATTTCCTGCTTTCTGCCTCCCTAGTGCTGGGATGACAGGCGTGCACCACCACGCCTGGATTCCATCGCTGGCTCAGCGCGCCCGCAGGCAGGGCCAGTGTGGCACACGGAGCCAGGGATCGAACCCTGGCCCCTGCGCCTACCTAAGCAAGTGCTTAGTCCGCTGAGCTATACTGCTGGCCCAAGGTTATCTTTTACAAACTAATTCTAAAAACTTTATCCTCTCCTCAAACCCCTGCAATGGTTTTTGAAATCTCTCAATAAAAGTAAAAATTCATGTAAAATTCTTTCCTCTGTTAATATTTTGGACCTCAAGTTGCTTTTTCCTTTGCCTCATCTCTTTACACAAAATTGTCTGCTTCTACTTCTTCAACATCTCCATCAAGGCCTTTCTAATGATTTTCTTTTTGGCGGAACGGGGGACTGAACTCAGGCCCTTGCGCTTGCCAGGGAAGCGCTTATTCCACTGAGTCATCTGCCCGGCCCCTCTAATGACTCTGTCTTCTCCTTGGAGCACATGGCTTAATCCCTGTTCCGAAGTGCTCTTATCAGACGGCTTCCCCTTCCACGACATATAATAAGGACCAGAATCATCCGCATGCTGCTGCTTCCCTCTATCACCAACTTATCACTGCCTGACACCATGCTCATTGTCTCTTTTTCTAGAATGGAAACCTAAAGAGGTCAGGAACTCTGTTTGCTTTTCCAGGTCACAACCCCCAGGAAGTAGCAGATAAAATTCAATGCAGATGTGCTGCCTTGCCAAAGGTCCCACAGTGAGTAGGCCAACCGATCATGGACTGGATTTCTGAAGTCGTACGCCAAAATAAATTTTTCTTGTTGTTAAAAAACTAATAATCTCAGGTATTTTGTTGTAGTAATGAATGTATTAACACACTTAATATTTGTGTCTCTAATAAATTATTCTAGGATCTTGAGTCTTATATGCCATAATAAATATCCTAGTATCTATCAAAGTAATTTTCCTCCACAATGAAGAGGTACGTGAAACAAGGTCTGATTAAGATATGAGTCTGAGGTGATGTCTAGCACATAGCTTGGGGTCTCTGTTAGGAATCCATAGATAAAGATAGAAAAATGGATAATCTCTCAGAGTAGATACGCATGAAAACAAAATGTCAAGAAACAAGTACTGGCCAAAAACTCATATTTGGGATTAAGAAACAAACAAACAACAATGACATACACAAACTGCACCAACAGAACAAAATAAGCTAGAAGTGAGTATGTATAGAGAAATTATATCTAACAGAGTTGGCATTGTAGAGCACTGAGGAAAGGCATAAGGTGATTTCTAAAGACATGTTCATAATCTCTAAGATGGCTCCTCTCAAGGCGTGGAGTGTAATTTCTCTTTCCTTAGGTGTGGACGGAGCCCAGTGCCTTGCCTCTAGAAGAAACGGGAACCTTCTAACGGAAGACATAAAATGGCAACTTCTGTCTTCCTTTTTCACTCTCCGCACACCATGCTGGAAAGATGCTCAAGCAACCTGTAGAGGGATCCACAAGCCATGGAGCCAAGGACCACCAGCAACCATAAGACCGAGCTTAAAAGTGCAGCCTCTGTGGCTTGTCAAAGCATGTGAGACACAGGCCTGGTGATCGCAAGGCTGGTCAGCAGCTTGACTACAACGTCAACGGACTCCACACTGCTATGCTACTCTCGGATTCCATCTGACAGAAACCAAGATGGTAAAAGTCTTAAGCTGCTCAGAGAGGACACTTTACGGGGGGGGGGGGGGGCGGGCAAGAGTAGACAACAAATACCAAAAAAGGTGTTTAACAAATGTAACATTTAAACATAACAAGTAAGTCTTTAAAAAGGAAAATCTGCTGGGCATAGTGGTACACATCTGTAATCCCACCACCTGGGAGGCTAAGGCAGGAGGATTACTCAAGTTTGAGGCCAGTTTGGGTGACAAAGCGAGACCCAGTCAACAAAACAAAACAGGAAAATCTGTGATCACACAAGGACACAAATTTATGACTTTTTAAGCACGCTAATAATAAATTAATTTCAACTATAGAAAAAAACCCTTAAAATCAAGTCAGCTTTTGAATGTAAAACAAACTACAAACTAGGAGAAAATTATGTGTAATACGTCTCACAAGAAATCTACTAGTCTACACATCCATGAGAATTCCTTCCTCATATGTACTAAGAGACATACAGTATATGAATATTTATAGTAGCAGTGCTTGTAACATCAAAGTGCAAAGGGGAAAAGCAACAGGACAACTGGTAAGATCCAATAGTATATCCTTGCAAGGGGAAGTTATGCAGTAACAAATATCTAGGAACTATATTGCTGTCCATGTCAATACAGATGAGTCCTAGAAACTCAATGCTGGTTAAAGAAAATAAAAAACATCA